GGACTCAAGGATAAATGAATTAGGTTTTGGTGGTAAAAGGTCACTGTAACTTCACAAAATTACTGAAGAATTCTTATACCATGTATGACAACATTTCACACGAGTGATGATATTTTATATCTAAAGGTCATAAATTGAGGCCTGAAAGAGATGTGCGCCACTTCCCAATGAGATTGTAGAAATGACGTGTAAGAAGCATCATTAAATGTTTAATGATGCCTCTCACAGGTTTTATATCATTTCATAATAAGAATCAAATGTCACACATTCTGGCTCCATATGCATTTCTGTTTTTTCTTTTTTCTTTTTTTCTTTTTTTTTTTTTTGATGCTGCTGCTGCTGCTGATGTTTCGGCCTTTGGGCCTTGTTTAGGATCAACATTCATATCTTACCTAGTCTCGCCCAGCCAGACCTTTCTCAAGAAAAGAAAGGTCTGGCTGGGCCGACTCTCACTTTAAGATTGGAGAAAAAAACGCGCCGGCTGCTTGTATTTCTTTCAACCAATCACAATCGTTCTTGGCAGTGCCACAGCAACGGTGCACTTGCAAAAATATTGCCGAGGGGAAACAGGTTTTGGTACAACACGCCCACAAAAATATCGCCTACAGGACGCAAACCATGGCAGAAAAATGGCTACATCCCCGCAAGATCAAACACTGCAAAAGTTAGTAAAGGATGTGTTAAAAACTGCAACCAGAGGTGGTAGGGCGGGACTTCAGTGGGTGGCTCGTTCCGCCCAATGAGAGGCTGATCTTTGCAGTGAACTTCCACCCACTCAGACTATATCTTACCTCATGTCTTGAAGAAGGCCCAAAGGCCAAAACCTCAACATCAAAATGAAAGAAATGCATATGTATCCAGGGTGTGCAACATCAAGTCTGCTGCCAGTGATCAGCACCTCGCTATAATTCCAGGTCTGCATTATTTTTATACTTATATTATTGTCATTTCATGTCACACATTACTTATAAATCCACTTTATCATAAACATCCACTTCAGCAGTGTTTATTTGTGCTTATGAACCATGACTTTTCTTTAAGCACCTATGAGATGAAACTCCAGGTCAGTTTGAGGCCCATCCGAACGTAAATTGGCCATTTGTCACTGACTGTCCATACAGTGCCTTGCAAAAATGTTCACCCCCCTCGGTGTTTGTCCTATTTTGTTGCGTTACAACCTGAAATTTAAATTGATTTTTATTTGGATTTTTTTGTAATGAACCTACATAAAATTCGTATAGTTAAATGAAAAAAAGCACTTTTTAAAAAACAATTCTAAAAAATAAAAAACTGAAAAGTGATGTATGCACAGGTATTCACCCCCTTTGCTATGACCCCCCTAAATAAGTCCACATTAAGCCATACACTCCACAGAGCTGGGCTTTATGGACAAGTGGCCAGAAAATTATGGCCCAGGGGTAGAAACTATTGCGGAATCTGGAGGTGTGTGATTTAATTGACCTGGTGAACTCAGAGATGTTTTTATTTCTTTATTTAAGCATGACTTTTTTCTGCTGACTCTTTCACAAAACCAGGCCCTGTAGAGTGTATAGCCTGAAGTGGTCTTATGAACAGATCCTCCAGTCTCTGCTGTGGAGCTCTTCAGCTCCTTCAGGGTTATCTTTGTTCTCTTCGTTGTCTCTCTGATTAATGTCCTTCTTGCCTGGTCCTTGAGATTTGGTGGGCAGCCCTCTCATGGCAGGTGTGCTTTATTTATTTATTTGGTTTTGTTTTGTTTGTTTTTTTTCTTCATTTTGTAGTAATGGATTAAATGGTGCTTAGTGGCATATTCAGAGTTTCACAATTTATTTTATTTTTTTTTTATTATTTTTTTTAAGAACCAATCCCTGATCATTACTTCTCCTGAATTTTGTTCCTGACCTGTTTGGAGAGCTCCTTGGTCATTGTGGGTGTATATATACTGAGATCATGTGACATTTAGATTTCACACAGGTGGACTTGATTTAACTAATTATATGACTTTTGAATGTCATTGGTAACACCAAGTCTTATTTAGGGGCTTCATAGCAAAGGGGGTAAATACGTATGCACGCACCACTTTTTTTTTAAAACAAGTTTTTGTTTTGTTTGTTTTGTTTTCTTTTTTATTTCAAATCGCCAGTTTTGACTAATTTGTGTTGGTCAATTACAAAAATATCCAAGGAAAAACACAGAAGGGGATGAACATTGTACATGCCCTTTTTAAGTGTTTGCAGGCTGTTTCCTGACCCAGAGATCAGAGTTCTCTGCGTGAGTTGGGAATTTAAGTCACATATTCACTACACATACTATGTTGGGTCATTGCTCTGTTGTATTTGTGTTTAATATGTTGTGTTGTTTCTAAATAAAGAGTAGAAAAGTCTAGAATGCAATAAATGCAATTTTACTTTGAAGAGAGACAAGTGCTTAATTGCTTAATATTTTCACACTGGTTGCATTATATTCATTCATCTGCCCAAAACAAATTTCCCATTTGGGACAATAAAGTTTATCTTATCTCATCTAATCTTATTTGGTGAAAAAACTGCCTGATTGAGAGAATTTGTAAGTTTACATGTTATTGTGAAGTAGTTGTCACATTCACTTCAACTTCAGAAGGTTCTCATCTTGTATTCTTAAAAACCACAGCATGTAAATGTTTGGTCCTGTCATCTGCGCTCAGTCTGACATGACACACATACACATATACACACTCGTACTTGGTGTAGGATCCTGCTTGACTAAACTTGTAGTTATTCTGCTGATAATGCAAACTGAGGTCAGCCCCCTTTTTGTTTTTGTATCTGCTGCTTTAAATAGTGGCATTTAAAAGGAGCCACAGTAATACTGCCTTGTTAAAATCAACTATTAGAGTGAGCTAACTAGTCTCTGTTTGACTGCATTCATTCCTTCTTTCTGGGACGTAAGTGATTTTCTTCTCATGGCCTCGTGGATGGCTGCACATGACGCATGTCAAAACAACTGTTCCTTTTGTTTGATTAAAAGCATACACCAGCAGTGTCTTGCTTCAGAAAAGTAGCTTTTTTCAATCTCATTTGCTCCCTGGATGAGCACATCCCAGCTACTGTAAAGGCCAGACAAGTTTATCATAAGAGCACAACAAGGAAACTCAAAGGTGCTCTGTACTGCTACTGCACCTCGAATACTTCTCCTGTACAGAGCGTCCGGTGTGTGCTACCGCCATCAGTCAACGCAATGGCTGTACAATTCAATCAGTGTGTGTTGCACTAAAAGGATGAAGTTTCACTACTAGGCATTCTTTAAATGCAGCAGAGAGAGGTAGTTTAAGAAGAAAAGGAACAAGCAGTAACAACATGATATTCTGGTTCTGGACAAAATACACACATGCACTTAGACATAATGCAGTGGAACTGAAGTGCCTCTGACATCATCCTTTGACCCTTTAAAGGTACTCCCAGCAGCTTGAGTTAAAACCAGTTTATCCTTTGGCTCTTTTTTCTTATGTCAAACTACATCGGAATGCTCCATTTACATGTTCAAATCTTAAAACCTTCTTCAGACCCTCTGCAGAGCTTCTCTTTCACATCTCAACTTATTTATTCCACTTAAGTTTGCAGACCACCATCCTGGGCTCCCCAGGCCAGTAGAGTTTGACACGACATTTTAGACAACATAATTGTAACCCTTAAAGCCTCAGTGTGTAAAAATGGTGAGTAACAGTGACATCAGCGGTCAAATTCTAGATTGCAGGGCTCACTCGCGCTCACTCGCTCACCCCTCCCATTGGGTAAGTGACGGTGGCCTCGTAGGATAAAAAGCCTTGCGCAGACAACAGAGATCCATCCACTAGTTTTTCAGGAGTAGGCCTGTCTAGCGACGAGGTAAATATTTATTTAGGAATCTAAACCATGTTACGATGTTGTAGCGACCCTGCAGTAATTGTTCTGTTATAATGTCAATGTTCTGTGAGTTAATGGCATGTTTGGGATTGAATGAGTATAGGTAGGGGGGCGGGGTGCGAGTGTGACGGGAATGAGGTCTGTGTGAGTGCGCTTGCTGGTGTGTGTATGAATGAGCTGGAGGAGAGAGCAGGAGTGCACAGTTGGAGTTACAGCTAAGTTCTTGTTTGTTGGTTGTTTTGGTGTAGTTAGGGCCAACAGTAACCTGTACTGTTCAGTAATAAACGGTGGTTTGCCGAATAACTGCGTCATCCTTTTCACACGTCCTGGCGGACACTACAGTATGTTATAGCTTACCAGTGACATATAGGTTATCTGTGAGATATATGTTAGGAGTGTTTTATTTCTAATTGTTTTGGTAACACGAGCAAACATTATCACAGTAATGCTAAAAAGCAACGCCAATATTCACTCGCGTTTTGTCCCGTCCTCGCTTATCTGATCTTTTTCTTTTATTTGGTGGCATGGTTTCCCTCTTATGGTGCAAAACATATGTGTGCTCCTCCATTTAAAGTGCGACAGAATTATAAAAGTACAAAGCAGGTTCACGCAGAAGCGCCCCGGATTGAGCTTCACCTTCTCTGTCTCCAGTGACGGCAAGTTCTAGGTAAACATGAAGCGCGTATATCCCTTTCGGCCACTGTATTCAAATATGGCAACACAAGAGGGCAGCCTCCAGCAGACCGCGCCCTGCCTGTGTATATATAGAGAAATCATTCTAAGCCTAGGAGAAAGCTTCCATTTGTATTTGAATTGCATTACACTTTAGTAAATATATATTTATGAAAGCAGTAGTTTATATTTGCTAATAAACAACCACGTAAATTACACATTGTAACTTTAAAATGTTTCTACTATCTTAATGGTACATTTAATTAGAGCGATACATTTCCATATCATTAAAGTAAACATACGTGTTATATTCCATAATATTAATACAGAAGCTGATAATTACTACATTAACATGTTGTATAAATTCTAGCCAAGTGACAAGGTGAATAAATTAATGTAGTTTTTGTTAAAGAATTAGATTCTGTACCACTTTGACACTGATCAGCATTAAATGCAATGACTACTTACTTAATAGTGGAAGAATTCAATCCAAAGTTGTAAATCACTCCTGACTTAGAGTATTCAAAGAGACAAACTCATTCACTCACTATCCATCAGCTGTGTCCTCTGGATCCAAATTCAGTCTGCTACTCAGATAAACAAACACAACATACAGCAGCAGACACAATAGAAAAGCCAGGCCCTGGCTCCTATTATGGCAGGCACCAACACTGCAGTGAATAGTGACCATTGTGAAGCTTGTTGACAAAGAAAAGCCAGTCAGTGTTTAAGTTGAAGTGCTGTTTCCCTCACTGATTTTATGTCCTTTTTCTAAAGGGTTGTACTGAATTTATGAAGATCAAATTGAAAAGTGTACATAGCTGTGGGACCATACATGAGTTTTATGCTGGTGTTATCCACATTGTAAGTGTCTGATGTCATGACAGGACAGCCTGCAGAGCACAATGCTGCCTTGTCTGCTACTCTTCAATTCTTTGTTAATAATAATAATAATAATAATAATAATAATAATAAACTTTATTTATATAGCACCTTTCATACAGGGAGGTGTAGCTCAGAGTGCTTTACAACAAAATAAAAACAGACAAATACAATTTAAAAAAAAAAAAAAAAAGACAAGTGCAAATTCTGCACAATGAAACCAAGAACAACATAATATGTAAAAGATAAAAGTAAAACAGCGGAATGCATGGAAGCAGATAAAAAATGTGAAGGATGGGGATAAAAACCAGGGAATAGTGACAGTTAGTTGAAAGCAATGTTGAATAAATAAGTTTTCAATTGTTGTTTGAAAATGTTCACAGAGCTTGTATCTTTTATATCCTTGGGTAGTGAGTTCCATAATTTTGGTGCATAGTTAAAAAAGGCTGAGCTGCCAATTTTCTTATTAGAGTAGCAGAGGATCTAAGAGGCTGTGAAGGAATATAAAACGACAAAGAATTAGTAATGTAGGCTGGTCCAAACCCATTAAGAGCCTTAAAAACAAGTAAAAGCACTTTAAGATCAATCCTAAAAGATACTGGAAGCCAGTGAAGGTTAGCTAAAACTGGGGTGATATGCTCTCTCTTTCTTGTTCTAGTTAACTGCCTGGCAGCAGAGTTCTGAATTAAGTGTAATTTGTCGATGGATTGCTTTGGAAGACCGGTGAAGAGAGCATTACAGTAGTCAAGTCTGCTTGAAATGAATGCATGTACCAGTTTTTCGGCATCTTGTTGGGATAGGAATGGTCGCACCTTTGAAATATTTCGTAAGTGAAAAAAAGCTGTTTGGTCACCTTCTTTATGTGAGATTTAAAATTTAGGTCTGAGTCAAGGATAACACCCAGGTTCGTGACTTCAGATTTAACCGGCACAGCCAAACTGCCAGGTTTGGGAAGAACTATCTCCCGTTTTGCTTGGGGACCAACTAATAAGATTTCGGTTTTGTCACCATTTAATTTAAGAAATTGGTTTGCATCCACTTGTCTATTGCAGCCAATCCAGATGTTGGGTGACAGATTGGTCATCACTTGGGTCTAGTGAAATATATAGTTGGGTGTCATCTGCGTAGCTGTGGAAATTGAGGTTATATTCTCTGATGACGTCACCTAATGGAAGCATGTACAGTGAAAAAAGCAGAGGACCAAGGCAGCTACCCTGAGCAACACCAAATGGTAATTCATGTATCCCTGATACATTATCTCCCATAGTAACAAAAAACTTTCTTCCCATTATATATGAGCAGAACCAATTTAAAACGCACCCAGAGAGGCCAGCCCAGTTCTCAAGTCGGTCAATAAGAATATTGTGGTCTATGGTGTCAAAGGCAGCACTTATGTCTAGTAAGACTAGAATGGAGACCTTGTTAGCATCAGTGCTAGTTCTGAGATCACTGACAACTTTGGTGAGGGCTGTCTCAGTACTGTGATTTGCCCTGAACCCTGACTGAAACTTTTCAAAAATATTATTTTTGTTCAGGAAATAGATAATTTGGTTAAGACAACTCTTTCTAGTATCTTACTGAAGAATGGGAGATTTGATATAGGCCTGTAGTTATTTAAAACATTGGCATCTAGGTTTGTTTTTTTCAGCAGAGGTTTTATAGCTGCAATTTTGAAAGATTCTGGGAAACAGCTGATTTCAAGGGACATGTTAATAATCTTACTGACAGAGTGAAGCATACAGTTGAAACAATTCTTTAAAAGTATAGAGGGGACTGGGTCAAGACAGCACGTTGAAGTCTTACTCTCACCCACGAGCTTATGAACTTCCTGATCAGAGATAGTGTTATCCAAGAGTTGAATAAAAGCTATTTTCTAATTGTTAATAACCATAACTATATCGTCACATGCATCAGCCCCATATCCTAAGGCATGCATAGTATTTACTGTGGGTCTTCACTGTGGATTGCTTCTGAGTCATATTAGTCATGTTCTTACAGGTCTAGGCACAGTGGATTGATCAAAACATAATATTGGTTTCACACAACTTGTACATGGTGATACTTCATCTGAGCTGAACTTTATGAGTTTGAGAAAATCTGACATCTGATACAATCATTACACACAGAGATGTTGCACAGAGTCCAATGCATTTTATTCTATTGAGGAAATTAGCAAAACCAGACATGCGTCTCTACCGAAGATGTCTCCCTGACTGTGGCCACTCCTTCTTCTCATTATCATCATCATCCACCTGAATATTACTGTCTAACCTGTTAATAGGTTATCTGAGTTAAGAAGTGATGCTGTTCCTCCCTCCTGCGGCAGATGTGTTTGGATAGTTACGCCACATTTTGTTCACTGCTTCTTGGTCAAACAACTCTCTAAAGACTTGATGGATGTGTAAAGCACAGAGAATCAAACCTGTTCTCAAAACTTAATTAGAGATGAAAGTTGTACAGTTACTGTTTAAATTTGATTGACACAAAGTAAGATTGTAATTATTTTTAATGGTGTGCAAAGGCCTGAAGGCTGAAAATTACAATCTTACTTTGTGTCACACTGGCTGAAACTGTCACTATATTCTGAAAGAAGTACTTCAGACATAGTCTGTGGAATAAAATCACATCCTTCCTCCTCTTCCCACTTCCTCCAGTTGTATTTGCAAGAATTGACCACAGTGCACCAAAAACAACCAATCAGAGCCAAGGAGTCTCTACAGCTAACAGTCACTGCTCATGAACTGCGGTCAAACTGTCGAACTAGGCAGGGCTGATTAAATATGAATCAAGATTCTGTTACTGTATTACCTATTTCTCACCTCAGATGTTTTCAGGAACATATTTTAGTGTTTGTTTAGCTGTAAAATGAGAGAGTTAGTGACCTGACCACCATATGGATACAGTCAACCAAAGTACCAAGCACTGCCCACTAACTCTCTCATTTTACAGCTCAACAGTTTACTAAAATATGTTTCTGAAAACATTTGAGGTGAGGTGACAGTTTCCGCAAATACAAAAACACTTACTATTATAGTAATTATCATTTTATTTTATTTTTATGAAAGTTATTAGTTGCAGCTATTAGTCCCCAACATTGAGCTGAAGATGAACCTAAGCTAGTTCCACTCAGTGTGAGAGCCGTTTTTGATAGTTAAAATGCAGTCACGGATTTGGAATGTTGATGCTGCTCACATTAGTTTTAAATTAACAGTGGATCAAATGATTATATGTAATGTGAGAAGGTTGGCTTGTAATGACAAAGCCACTTAACGTCAGATCTCTTGCGTGTTTTGACCTCTTTCATCTCATTGTTTTGATTTTATGGCCCACAAACATTGAGACATCATAATGATAAGCAAAAACACTTTTCTGGCCATTACTCAACGTCATATCTCAGGAACAGAAGGGGGGACATTTGGTCTTTACTGAACTGGGGACACTTATCTTGAAACTGTGCTGGCTCTTTTGCCCTTATGTGTAAACTCTTAAGAGAAACTTAACTGGTGCACAGAAGCATACAGTTGTGGGGCGTTAATACTAGTTTCTGTAGTGTTTCAGTGTTGGTCTTCTCTGTGACAGGTGATTGGACGGATGTGTAAGATCATAGACAAGACCTGCTTGTCTCCAACGCCCACACTGGAGCAGCACCTGATGTGGGACGACATCGCCATCTTGGCGCGATATATGCTCATGCTGTCCTTCAACAATTCCCTGGATGTTGCAGCTCACCTGCCCTACCTGTTCCATGTGGTGACCCTGCTGGTAGCCACTGGGCCACTGTCTCTTAGGGCGTCCACCCATGGTCTGGTTATCAACATCATCCACTCCCTCTGCACCTGCTCGCAGCTCAGCTTTAGTGGTGAGGAATTAAATGTAGTGAGGATGACTAATAATGAGAGCAGTGAGAAAGCTAGGAGTACTCAAGCCAGAGTCTGTGTCTTATCAAAGTAAATGCTTGTTTTTGTGTTTCAGAGGAGACAAAGCAGGTTCTGAGGCTGAGCCTGACTGAGTTCTCCCTGCCTAAGTTTTACCTGCTGTTTGGCATCAGCAAAGTCAAGTCAGCTGCCGTCATTGCCTTTCGCTCCAGCTACAGAGACCGCTCCTTCTCACCAGGCTCCTATGAGAGGGAAACATTTGCCCTGTCCTCCCTGGAGACCGTCACTGAGGCTTTACTGGAGATCATGGAGGTCAGCTAAAAAACATTTGATTGTTGAACAAAACTAAGGAAGAATTAGAAGTCTCTGTTCTTGAACTGTTGAAGTTTGAGAGTCCAGTGTTTTCCACACATTGACAACTTAATTGTAATAGATCTGCCAAACGTATCAAAATGAAAACATATCACACAGCTTACACTGAAGCTCACACTGGTGCACACCCGTGTGTGCATTCTCAAAGTCAAAGATTTGGCAAATCTGTCAGTTTCTTTCAATCTGTTTGTTCTGTTTTTTTTTCCCTCCAGGCTTGTATGAGGGACATCCCAGCCTGTAAGTGGTTAGATCAGTGGACGGAGCTTGCACAGAAGTATGTACCTCCTCCATTATTTGAATGCATCATTGTCAAAAACATGAATGTCCAGTTTGCAACATATGTCTGTCTTTGGATTCCAGGTTTGCATTCCAGTACAACCCATCTCTCCAGCCCAGAGCGCTGGTGGTGTTTGGCTGTATCAGTAAGAGGGTGAGCCACGGCCAGATCAAGCAGATCATCCGAATCCTCAGCAAGGCCAGCCCTCTGCTCAGCATAGACCGGGTGAGTGTCCCTCTCTGTCAAGCCCTCTTCTCCTACCCAACCTGTGTTTCAGTTCATTGAAAATCAGTCATTTGTCTAGCAGAAATCTTAAATCTGGATGATAGTTATGGTACTTTTATTCTGAAATCACAAAAAAGATGCAATGCAAGTATCAAGCTTTTATGTTACAAAGGGTTGTCACACAGTTACAGTCATATTTTGATCAACAGCTTTCTTCAAGTGATTTGAATGAAGGTTCACATAGAATTACTTGAATGGGTGTTTGTATTATGTCATTTAATGACCCTATATGTCCCTCCCCTCCCTCTCGCTTGCTTCTTCTCTCAATTCCCTTTTCCTCACAGGGTCTGGAGAGCTGTCTGAAGGGGCCGGACAATTACAACAGTCAAGTATTAATAGAGGCCACAGTCATTGCTCTGACCAAACTGCAGCCCCTTCTCAGCAAGGTATACAACCACTGTAAACCCCTTCTAGCCACAGCAAAAAGCCCCCACTCTGTGTCATTACTGCTAAATATTTTACATGAAACATTTTACCTTACCTCCAGCTGTCAGTTATGGGTGGTCTTTGTCTACTTTACTGATGTTTTATCAGATTAATTAACTTAAGTCATAAGCTTTAGACTTGATGTTGTGTCAGTATTGAATTTTGAACTATTTGTATGCCTGCCAGAGTCCTGGTATGGTCAACTACTAACTCAGCATAACCAGGGACTGTGGACACTATTTTTTTTCTGCTCGGCAACCTTGGCATAGTGAGTAGCACTGATACTGTCAAATAGACTATTGTTAGTAATAAATTGAAATAATGTTAAACCTTCCAATTGTGAAGTAAAAACAAAGCACTTTAAAGTGACTGAGTGTGTAGACGGTGTGATTAATCAGGGGTTGGGTCACAGGCCTTATATTAACAGATTTGACTCAAGTGTAATTGCTGGTAAAGGGTCAGGTCGCTTACTAATTTTTGCTAGTGGAGGTTGCAGGACTCTGTGTCTCTGGTTGCCACTCCAGCTGACTGGTTTGAAAATGAAAGCGAATTAGGCAGGGCCACTCAAAGCACAGACTCTGTGTGTAGCAGTTCCATTCTCAGTTTTCACTTTCTGTCGCAGTTTAGCAGAGTACAGGTTTATATGTTCAGCAGAGCAATGGGATCCTCTCCCCCTCTGGAGGAGAAAAGGAACATTCATCATTACTGGCATAGCAATGGTCAAGTTGGATTATTATTTTCACCAAGTCTGAGTAAAGGTTTTAGTTATCTGTAGTGCAATATCTATGCTAAGTTCGATCAAATATCAAGATTATTTTTTTATTTTCTAAAGTTCTACATTAGTTAGCTGTAAATGTAAATGAGTTGAATGATCAGCAATTCAGTAGTGTTTTGCTGTTCATATCTCCATTGTCATTTTTAGAATTTTTTTTTTTATTTATTTATGTTGACAGTAGCAGCACATCCATCTCTTGCTGTGTTCGATCAGTCACACTGCACACCAATTACTGTCAATACAAGCCCACGCTGTATGTGTTTGCAGGAGTCTCCCATGCACAAAGCTCTGTTCTGGGTGGCAGTAGCTGTGCTACAGCTTGATGAAGTCAATCTGTACTCTGCTGGAACCGCCCTGTTGGAGCAAAACCTTCACACTCTGGACACAATGCGCGTCTTCAATGACAAGGTGAACACACAGACACACACTGTACACCCCGAAAGACACAAGGTTTTCTCTGTTCACAAATCAACACACATTGATGTTGGGTTTAGTCTCATAATACAGACCCTCATTTGGGTTTGGACAGCTCACTCAGGCTGCACTGAGAAGGACATGGGACAGTGTATTTTAAAAAACTTCACACTGAATTCATGTGTAGTCTCATTCTGGCTCCAACATTGAATTCTGATTCCACTCTGTAGTGGCCATTACAATGGTAGTAATTTGCCTTTTATAGAGAAAGTGAAGTAATGCTTGGTACAATAGATCAACACATACTACAGACCTTTCCACTTGTGAAGGTAGTGAGTGCATTTGAATGCATTTTTTTAATAAATCAAGAGGGCATGTTCACGTTAAAACAGGGTGTTAAGTTTCTCTCGAACGGGTGGAAATCACGTTCCATTGCCATACAATATTACATCGATTCTTTGGACAACGATACAGTAATTGCTGATAACACAAAGTCTGCCACAATCTCAAATCAAATCTGATCCAAGGAGGCCCCACTGTGGATCGTGGGTTACAGGCATATCTCACGAATGCTCAATCAGATTGGGATCTTGGGAAATAGGGCCTAGAGGTCTTTGTCACTTTCCACGGGCCATTGCTGAGCAGTTTTTGCAGTGTTGCATGGCACACTTTCCTGCTGGACAGGTCACTGCAGTCATGGGATGCTGTTGCCATGAGAAAGTGTACTTGGTCTCCAGGGATGATCAATGTTATTCACTTCACCTATCAGTGGTTTTAGTGGTTTGGTTGATTGGTGGTCCTCTACCAGGGGCCTGGGAGTTTGAGGGTTCTGCGGAGTATCTTAGCCGTTCCTGGGACCAAGGAATTCTGGACAGAGACCTCAGATGTTCCTGGAATCTGCTGTAGCCACTCTCCCTGTTTGGAGGTCACGGCCCTGAGTGCTCTGATTACCACTGGCATCACTGTTGCATTTACTCCCCACATCTTTTCTAGCTCCTCTTTCAGCCCTTGGTATTTTTCAAGCTTCTTGTGTTCCTTCTTCCTGATGTTGCTGTCGCTTGGGGTTGCTACATCTATCACCACAACTTCTTCTGTTGTTTGTCAATCAACATAATGTCCGGTTGGTTCACCATCACCAGTTTGTCAGTCTCGATCTGGAAGTCCCACAAGATCTTAGCTTGGTCATTCTCAACCACCTTAGGAGGTGTCTTCCATTCTGACCTTGGGACTTCCAGCCCATACTCAGTGCAGATGCTCCTGTACACTATGCCAGCCACTTGCTTATGACGTTCATGTACGTTGTTCCTACCTGCACCTTACACCCTGCTATTATGTGCTGAACTGTCTCAGGAGCATCTTTGCACAGCCTAGGGTTGGCAGCTGGATAGCTTTGGCACAGGAGATCAGGGTTCAAATCCCAGTCAGGGCAGGTAAGACATATCCAGTCTGGACCCTCAGGCAAGGTCCATCATAATGCTGGTAGCTTACCTCAGGATGAATGAAACCGCAAAAACAAGAGTCATACCGGCTCGATAGTTGCCTGGGTCAACAAGGTCTGCATCAGGTGTTGGGGAATCAGGGCACCCTGATGAGAGATGGGCCACTGGAACAAGACATACTCTGACAGGAACTGAAGAAGCCCTTTTGGATGAGACATCTTTAAGAATCTAAAGCAAGTCCAGATACCTTTGACTTAACACTAGATATACCATGACCCGGGTGACTGCTACCTCGCTGCAAATCCACACTTCAAAAGCTTGTTGAGTTATATGTGTATGAAGATTCTGTGAATGGCCACTGGAGTCATCTTCTCTAGCTGTATGGATGATTACAGATATGTATTTTTAGTTAAAGAGAAAATCAAACAAACTGAACACAAAGTGATTTCATTTAAATGTAACTTCAAAAGTACTGACTAATTTTTTGATTTTGATTTTCATTAAGTGCATGAACTGACCTACTACTATGTGCCGAAAGTGGATTGTGGCAGACCTCTGATGTGCATGTTTTTAAAATGATGACATGACAAAAAACAGCTTGGTCATTCCTCTTGTATCCTCCTAATGTGCTCCTCCAGAGTCCAGAAGAAGTGTTCATGGAGATCAGGCGTCCGTTAGAATGGCACTGTAAGCAGATGGATCACTTTGTGGGTCTCAACTTCAGTGCCAACTTCAACTTTGCACTGGTGGGCCACCTACTCAAAGGTAAGGCAACCACTGATATAGATGAGCATTGACAGGCAGTCATTCAGTGTTCAGTACAGTGTGGTCTTTGTTGAATCCATGGGTATACATGTTCAAATTAATCAAATATATAATGAGCAACAGTAAAACCACAGATGAATATGCTATCAGTATGATTTAGTAATACATTTTGCAAGTCTACACATAGCAAATGCTGCACACTCTGGGTTCAGTTGATCTGCAGTGTTTGAGGAAGAAAGTCGGAGTTAGCTACAGGCACAGTGACAATAAGTACCCCTGAGCAGTGCCTTCTTGACCTGTCATGGTGGTCTTTCTTTCTTATTGTTGTACTGCGAAAGACATTTGGAGCAGTGTCTTGTCCCTGACTGTCTGTCGTTATGTCTCCAGGCTACAGACACCCATCACCCACCACAGTAGCAAGGACAGTGAGAATCCTGCACACACTGTTGGCTCTCATCAGCAAGCATCTGAAATGTGACAAGTTTGAGGTCAACACCCAAAGTGTGGCCTATCTGGCTGGTATGTAACACACTCTGTGGCATTCTGCATATACATCCTCATTTCTACCTTTCTGCACTACACTGAACTGCTTACTATGTGAAATATCTACGATTTCCTAAAATCCTATTCATATTTAATATCAATATCATATTATGTAACATAAGAAATATGAAAAAAAAAGGTTGAACATGGAGAGAATCTCTTTTCTTGGTTATGGAGGTTTGGGTCTGCACTGCAATTGTTGATAACCATCTATCCTTGTTGTTTTATGCAGCACTGCTCACTGTATCTGAGGAGGTCCGAAGTCGCTGCAGCCTCAAACACAGGAAGTCACTACTGATTTCTGACCTCTCCATGGACCCAGTACCTATGGACACATATTCCAGTCACATCACTGATCCCAGCTGCAGGTGAGTTGATGAACAGACAGCTTCATCCTTGTTTTTTTAATACTCCTTTTCCACCAAAATTAGCGTGTTTATGTGTTTTTTAAACACAGGTAAACCCACTAAAAATAGGTAATAGACTCCTTTCTCATTGCCAGTAGTTCAGCGATGTGTACTCAGCTCTGCAGCAGTCAAATGTGCCTTCCTGTGCATGCGTGTGTTTTTTTTTTGTTTTTGTTTTTTTGTGAGTTATGTTTCACGTCACGGACAGGCCAGGTTGATAAACAGTAGAGAGGAGCAGAGAGGCCAGTGAAAATGTTACGGTGGTTACTTTTTTTTATATATTACATATATCTCACACATATCTCACATATTCAGTCTCTCTCTCAAACTTGGTGCAGACTAATTTGGAATGATGTTTGAGTGCTGCTTGGGTGGAGACAGACAGTATTTTGTGGTGGCACATCATTGCATTTCACCGGTAAAGTGGCTAAAATTAGCGCATTCACCCAGTGTTGTGTTCCCATCAATACTGATCAGAGCCTAAGGCGATAAATACCCATCAAATCAAATCAACTTTATTTATATGGCACTTTTCATACAACAGTAACACAAAGTGCCTCACAGAGGTTAAAAACAACAAAGATCCAAAACAGAAAACAAAAAGAAAAGAGAAAACCCAACCCTCCCACCCAACAAAAAGCTATTTAGCTCATAAAATTGAGTTAGTAGCTAGGTAAGAATGATCTAAAACAGAGACATAAAATGCATCAGAACTAAAATAACAAAAGATAAAGGTTAAATGAGATAAGAACTTAAAAAGAGGAAGGGTAAGAATATAAAAAATAAATAAAAAATAGATTTTATATGGATAAATCGGTTATAAGAGGAATTTAAAATAGATAAATAAAGAGATCAGTTAAAAGCCTGATTAAAAAGATGAGTCTTGAGCCTCTTTTTAAAAACATCAACAGTCTCTGCAGCTCTGAGGTTCTCCGGCAGGCTGTTCCACAATTGGGGTCCATAATAATTAAATGCCGCCTCCCCGTGTGTTTTAGTCCTAACTTGTGGTATGGTTAAAAGGCCGGTGCCGGAGGACCTCAGGGTCCGCGAGGCTTGATATGGTAAAAGCAGGTCAGATAAATAAGAAGGCCCAAGACCGTGCAGACCATGACTACTGCAGAGTCATTTGACCCGGGTGTGATTGCTGATCAAAACGTTTCCAGTCAGATGTTAGTGGGGTTTTTTTTTGGGCAGTGGGAAAGGGGCTCAAGGATGAAGATGTCTGATCTGTCCACAAGAATAAAGCAGATTAGTTGAAATTCAGCTTGCTGATCACACCTTTGAACATACTGACTTTAAGATGCAGACATGTGTTTTCACAATCTGTATCCTACTTTCACATTCTTATAAAGATTCCAGTGTGTTGTCATTTGGTTTGTATAATCCGTTGTCCAGATTTTAGGTTTTAAGTGAGTTATCAGGTTGTCTTCTTTTACCTGACCTTTGGTCCATTTACCTCAGAACACTGCGAGAGACTCAGCCATGGACTTCACCTCAGGTTTCAGAGCGCTACCTCTCAGCCCATCACTACCCCACAGTGGGCCAGATTAGCCCACGAACCCGCAAGTCCATGAGCCTGGACATGGGTCAGCCCTCACAAGCCAACACTAAGAAGCTCTTGGGTATGACTTATCCCTCCGCTATGTACATTACATGTTGATCTAAAATCCATATGTTGAAACTCCAGATTATAAATGTATCTGTTGTCTGTGTTTGTCAGGCACCAGGAAGAGCTTTGATCATCTCATATCGGACTCAAAAGCACCAAAGAGACCAGAGATGGAGTCGGGTATGACCACCCCTCCCAAGATGAGACGCGTAGCAGAGAATGACTATGAGATAGGTGAGAGTGCAATCCTGACATTTCCTTTACGTCTGATATGATAGTTTGTTTTACATCTTTTATGTCAATCTTCTATGTTGTAATCACAGAGACACAACGAATTGGAAACTCTCACCTTCGCAAGGTGTCTGTATCAGAGTCCAACGTTCTGTTGGATGAGGAGGTGTTGACGGACCCAAAGATCCAGGCTCTGCTGCTCACTGTGCTGGTGAGGAAACAAACCACATGCTCTTGGCAAAGTTGAAACCAGTGGAACATTGTGATCAATTCCTGTTACTTTTGCTTTCTTAGTCATGGACTCCATTTGTTAACACACTGTTGCTGTATTTTTTCCAGGCCACCCAGGTCAAATACACCACAGATGACTTTGACCAGCGAATTCTCTATGAGTACTTGGCTGAAGCTAGCGTTGTCTTCCCAAAGGTTTTTCCAGTTGTGTAAGTAGCCAACATATACGCCTTTCCCTTGGTTAGTGTTTTGTGCCTGGTCTAGGGGAACCTAGACATAACATGTGACTCCCCACTCTTCCCACTCCCAAGGATGGCCAGTTAAGCAGTATTTTAAGACGACAAAGTAAGCAGTTTATTTAACTTCAGAGTAGAGCAGTGCCCAAAACAACAAACAAAATATACCAATGGACCCTAAACTTACCTGCAAAAACAAATGTGAAACAAAAGACAAGTTTCTAACCTAAACTCCTATCATTCAAAACAAAAGAAAAGAACATGGCAATGCCACACAAAAAGGGCTTCTCTCTCTCTCACTAAAAATGCTTGAAAGTGCTCTATTTACAGTGCTCAAATTAAAGAATATAAGAAAATAAACAAATAACCCTAAAAAGTAATCTGTTTAACAAAACGCAAACCACCTACTCAAAACTTAACAGAAAGCTTTTCTTAATAACAAAGTCATCAAGGTACACATAGTAGTTAACACAGTCAGAAATTTTTTGCCTGCAGGATCTCACAAATAAATCCACATTCACAGTTCTAAGTACTGGCTTCTTTGGAAATGACGGAGATGAAAGGGGGGAAGAGCATCTATCAGCTGGATCTTAAAAATCTTCTGTCATGCCCTGGACCAATCTGGTGACTCTGGTGTCTCTTCAAATGGTCCAGTCAACGCACACCACCTGCCTTGCAACATCCAGTCACACTCAATCACAGGCACACAGTCTTAAAGTTAATTTATACTTCTACATTGTATGCCGTAACCTACGCTGTAGCCTGACGTGCATCTCCCCAGAATTGTAACTACGGGTAGTGGTGACGCAGACCTCCTGTCTGTTAATAATTATGTATACTGACACCATTTCCTTCAGTGGAAACGAAGCTTTAATTTACTTTTTTTTCACAGTAAGAAAAAATATATTGTGAAGACAGTAAAGCCTCCACTAAAATAGCATTATAGGTCTTGTGTGTAATTTATCCCTCAGGGATTTATACTTCGGGATTTATCCAGGTTTCATATGAGAAGAGGAAATCTCTGCTCGTTGCTAGGCTAATTTATACAATGTAAAATGCCATTGGCTTGCGCTAATAACATTAGCATTTTGTATTTCTTTGGATACGTGTTTAGTATGACAATTGTTTATTCGGGGAATCTTATGAGTTATAATGGAGCCAAATTGTGTGCTGTTACCTTTGTTAGATGTTGCTGTTGTACCTGGCTTTATATGAGAAGAAGGAAAGATCGCTGTCCGCTAGGCTAATCTATATAATGTAAAATGACATAGGCTTGTGCTAATAACGTTAGCATGTTATATTTATTTGGAAAACGTGTTTAGTACAGGACAGTTGGTTTGTCAGTGAACTTTGTGAGTTGTACTGGAGCCAAATTGTGTGCCGTTACCTTTGTCAAATATCGCTGTTGTCCCTGATTTTATATGAGAAGATGAAAAGATCGCTAGTAGCTAGGCTAATTTATACAATGTAAAATGCCATAGGCTTGTGCAAATAACATTAGCATGTTGTATTTGTGGGGAAAATGTAGCCAGATAAAGACAAGTGTTTGTCTTTGAGTGCTGCGAGTTATATTGAAGCCAATTTGTGTACTTGTGTTTAAAATTTTCTCTATTAAGCCATATTGAATGTGTTTTTGGGTGTGTTTTGAATCAGCTAAACTTAATCAGAGTCAGACTAGACTCACAAGACAGTCTTTAGACGCTTTGCTTAACTAAAGACTGATGTCTTTCTCCCTGATTTTGTGTTTAGATGGGCGGATACAATTTCAGAGTTTAAAAAACTACCCCCCCTAATAACTCATTAAACGGTCCCTGAAAAAAACATCTTTTCCAGCGGATATCTTAGTTACAACATGATTGAGCTAGCAAAACAGTTTTGTGTTGCTCTGTGTGGTATTTATTCAGTTTTGAGAAATCACGATGTCTAGAAAGCATCAGTGGCTGCAGCTGACAGGCTCAGCTAACACTAGTAGCAAAGCTAAAATCAGGACGTCATCTGTTAAAAGCCTCCCATTGTCGGATACGACATGAAACTACTCCAGTTAGCTCAATCATGTTGTGACTAAGACATCCGCTGGAAAAAATATTTTCTTCACGGATGAGCACACGTTTGATAAAACGGAGTTTAATCTCTCAGCATCCATTTTCAAGCTCTCCGTGTGTTTGTTTCCTTGCGGACGAGAATAGGGGGAGCGCACGTTTCCAAGAAGGCGTGTCCTTTTCAAAAATGCAAGAGGCGTTTTCACCGGTGTGTTAAACACACTTTAGAAAGGAGTGTCCCCAGACTATCAGAAGGTGGAGATCTCTGATTGTCTGGTGGCAAGACTAGAATCGGACATACTTTATTGATCCCCGAGGGGAAATTATTTATGTTACAGGTGCTCCTTGCAAGAGAGTAAAGATACGTGAAAATATAAGAAATTTAAACGATAGTATTTACAAATACGTATATAGTTAAATAAACAGGAATTATTAACAAACATAAATATATATACATATATATATATACAGTACAGGCCAAAAGTTTGGACACACCTTCTCATTCAATGCGTTTTCTTTATTTTCATGACTATTTACATTGTAGATTCTCACTGAAGGTATCAAAACTATGAATGAACACATGTGGAGTTATGTACTTAACAAAAAAAGGTGAAATAACTGAAAACATGTTTTATATTCTAGTTTCTTCAAAATAGCCACCCTTTGCTCTGATTACTGCTTTGCACACTCTTGGCATTCTCTCCATGAGCTTCAAGAGGTAGTCACCTGAAATGGTTT